TTGGAGCTAAGCTGAAACACGCCGCAGTTTACTGCTGAGAACAGCTCCCCTGCATAACCGCACTATCTAATATACATAACCACAACACTATCTCATACAGTAGCTACCAGCTATGAGTGGAGGCTGAGAAGTCTAATTGAAATGTGCTAAATGTAAGTAAGGAAAATATCTCACTGATTTGTTAGATCCATCCATACCCAAACAGTATTTGGGGAAAAGTTAAATAAGACACAGCAGAGTGAATTTTACATTTTAAGATGGGAACACTGAAACGCCAGGCTGCAGGAACACCTGGAACAAGGAATAGAAAACATTTTAATATCCAGCAAGCTCCCTTTGGTGAAAGGGCTCTCCCTGAAGTACTCTCTCCTCCCCAGGTTCATCGACTTTAATTCCATGACATTTGGGTGCTGCCAGCACCACTGACAGGGTCCCCCGGTCCTCCTGTCACTCAACTCAGCAGCCCTGACACTTGAGTTTGACTGTAGATTTCAGTCATCTCCCTTTTCTCCATCTTTTTTTTTTTTTTTTCTCCAAGACAGTGTTTCTCTGTGTAGCTTTGTAGACCACACTGGCCTTGAACTCACGGAGATCACCTGCCTCTGCCTTCTGAGTACTGGGATTAAAGGCATTGGCAACCACCACCTGGCGGCCCTTTTCTCCATCTTCAGCAGCAGTTTTCCAACATACATATTTGCAAGGCCAAAATCAATAGAGAACACACACTTGCTACATCAATCAGTCTCAACTAAAGCGTGTCCAGAAGAATTTACCAAAGAAAAAGGACACTGAGCTAGAGTGCGCCGAACTACACAGTCAGAAAATACAGTGTTCACTCCTAGTCTGACCTCTGTCCGGTAAGCCATGCAAGTTTTAGGCCCTCTGTCTCTACATTTGAACAGAGAGAGAGATGAGGTCAAACTCCCTTTGTTTCCAACCAATTTGTGAAACCCTTCTAGAGTTTTAAAGATGGATTTATTTTATGTGTATGAGCACTCTATCTGCATGTACAACTTTATAGCAGAAGAGGGCATCAGATGCCACTATAGAAGGTTGGGATCCGCGACGTGGGTGCTGGGAACTGAACCCAGGTCCTCTGGAAGAGCAGCCAGGGCTCTTAACCACTGATCCATCTCTCCAGCCCCACCCTCAAGGGTTTTAATAACTAACCATAAAGTAAGACATACTGTGCTAACTAAAGACATTTTCCCAAGTTTTTGTTCCAGCTATGTATTTTACATAGTGGTTGCAATATAAAATGTGTTCTGGCCAGTGTGGCAGTGTAAACTTGTAGTTATGTCATTCAGGAAGCTGTGGTTAAGAGGAGCCTGAGCTCTACTGTGAGACCACGCATCAAAATAAATGTATGTCTTACTGCATGTTTTAGTTTGAAAAACATAACAGTCTTAGGTAAATTGGATTGTTACAGGTTCATTTGTGTTAAAATATTTCAAGAGCAGTAAATTACAAAATACGGGAAGGAATGGGAAAGAAGAATTGGGGGTGGTTGGATCAAGACATATCATATATATGTGCGAACTTATCAAAGAACAGAGGATATTTTTAAAAACAAAAAACAAACAATTGTCTGGCATTTAATCCCAGTACTCAGGAAGTAGGGCAGGTGGATCTCTATGAATTCAAGGCCAGCCAGAAAAAGTGAGACCTCAAAATTTTAAAGCAAATAACCCAACAATAAGTTGGCATATTAACTGAACAGACATTTCTCAAGTAGGAGAAAAAAATATGAAATCAGAATTTAACATGGTGAGGTCTATCCAAGTTAACCTGATGCATACTCTGCTTATTACCAAGTCTTTCACATACATGAATGTGTTATGATTTAACAGTAAACATATGAAAAGAAGGGTTATTAGCATTCCAAAATAGAAACAAGAAAACAATGACACTCTATTTCTGTTTATAAATCCTGTGCATACCTCATTTTCAACCTTAGGAGGTTAGAAAAAAAAAAAAAAAAACACCTACAGACACTCACAAACTTCCTATTTTAAGACGAGATTTAAATGTTTTGTTTCTGATATGGACTTAAGAACGTCTACCAGAGCCCGGCTGTGGGGGTGCACGCCTTTAATCCCAGCACTCAGGAGGCAGAGGCAGGAGGATCTCTGGGTGGGTTTGAGGCCAGCCTGGACTCCAGAGCGAGTGCCATGATAGGCTCCAAAGCGTCACAGAGAAACCCTGTCTTGGGGAAAAAAAAAAAAAGAACGTCTACAGGCCAGGCCTGGGTGGTGCACGCCTTTAATCCGAGCACTCGTGAAGCAGAGGCAGCCAGATTTCTGTGAGTTCGAGATCAGCCTGTTTGGTCTACAGAGTGAGTTACATCCAGAACAACCTTCAAAACAATACAGAGAAACCCTGCCTAGAAAACAACAACAACAAAAAACAACAACAAAACAACAACAAAGAGTGTCTACCAATTTAAAAATTGGGTTCACAAAGAAACACATTAGCCCAAATACAGGGCAATTTCAACAGCAGCAGCAATGACATCAATTCAATCGGTAGAAATGACATAAATTCCCGTTGACAAAGTGGGAAAAACTGTAGAAACAATTCTGTTAGAAACACAATAGCACAGTTCTCAATGGTTGAAAACAGGCTCTCTTGTAGCAGTTTGGCCTTGAATTCTTACAGCTGAGAATCCTCCAGCCTCCAACCCCAAATTAATAAGATTACAGGCATGCACCACAATAAAATTGTATAACACTGGAGATAAAACCCAGGGCTTTGTGCACATTAAGCAAGTGTTCTGTCAACAGAGCCCCAGCCCAAAAGGCAACTTTTTAAAAATAATTTTTAATGTGGGGAGGAAGGGCACACCTACATTGGTGGGTATGTACGTGAATGGAAGACGGACAACTTCAAGGGTCATCTTCGGGGATACCATCTCCCTCCTCGGAAACAGGACTTCTCACTGGCCTAGAGTGTTCCAATTAAGCTGGGCTGATAGGCCAGCTAGCCCCAGGGGTCCTCCTGTTTGAACCTCCTGGCTACTGGGACTACAAGCATGATTGGACAACCATACCTAGGACGTCCATGCATTCTGGGGCTCTAACCCTGATCTTCACACTTGCTAGGTAAGCACCTTACTGAAAGCACTATACCCCACCCCAAATACCAACATTTAAACTAGCAGATATTAATTGCACGAAACAGGTTTCACTGTGACATTTCCATCATGTACATAATGTATTTCAGTCATATTAACTCCCTCATTACCTTTTGCCCACCCACAACTCCTAATGCCCTTCCTCTGCCCAACTACCCCTTTTCTGTAACCCCACCCCATGTGTGTGTTTCATTAGGGTTATTTACAGGAACATTGGACTTTGTAAGGGCTACACCACTATAGAGTTCCTCCCCTATGGGCTATGCAAATGTCTCTCCCTCCTCATTGGCTATGCATAAGTCCTCAGGGAAGGACATCTTTTAACACTTGTAAGTTACTTAAGAACTATATATTGGGTTTTTCAAGTTATCTATTGGCATATTTTGAAAGATTTTAGTTCACACAGAGAAAAAGTTTCCCACAGGCCCTGACCCAGGACAAGGAAGTTGGCCCCAACCCAAGGGCAGACAAACAATCCTTTTTGGGTCACACCTGGCTGGCCAACAGACAATCAAGGACTTTTCAGGGTACGTTCAGTGGTTTTTCCTTTGTAGAAAAGCAGGTCACTCCTGGGTGACCACTCTAACATGATATCATACTTTGTATGTATCGATCACTTTGTGCCCCTTGCCTGTATGCTGATCTGCAGTTTTTTCCTATATAAGGAGCTTGCACCCCATGCTGGGGTGTGCAGCTTTCCCGATATTGCTGACACCCGAATGCGCATTCGTTCAATAAACCCTCTTGCTTTTGCAGCTCTTGGTCTGGTTTCTGAGTCTCAGGGGCTCCTGGGACTCTGTGCCCCTTAGTGATCTGGGGGGTCTTTCAATTTAAAGTTTAAGACACATATAGATGTTTCTTTCCTTCTAATAAGGAATTCAACACTATTACCAAGCTACTTTATAAAATAAAAAGACTGGAGAAATGACCCGTGGTTAAGAGTGATTAGGCTGCTTTTCCAGAGAGCCTGAGTTTGAATCCCAGCCACATGGTAGTTTGCAAACATCTTAACTCCAAGCCCAGGATATCTGTGGTGATTTGAATGAGAATGGCAGCCATAAGCTCCTATATTTGCATGTTTGGTCCCCAATGGATTAGGAGGTGTGGCCTTGTTGGAGGAGGTGTGTCACTGGGGGTTGGGCTTTGAGAGTTCAAAAGCCCACTCCATTCCCTGCATGTGTGCTCACCCTCCCTCTGTTCCCCTCTCTCCCTTCCACCACTACCAACTCAAGCTTATGGATCAGGACGTAAGCTCTCAGATACTGCTCTGGGCACCATGCAGTCCCATCATGATAGTCGACCGTGAGCCCCCACATAAATGCTTCCTTTTGTAAGTTGCCTTGGTCATGGTGTTTTGTCAACGAAATAACTGAAACTGGATCCAATACCTTCTTCTGGCCTTTACAGGCATTGCATGTACATGGTGCACCTACACCCACGCAGGCAAAACACCCACACATAAAAACTAAAAAGAATTACTGAATAAACAGTAGCTACTGAATCATTAACAAAGAAATGGTCTTAATACCAATTTTATTCCATATAAAACATTTCCCAGAAGAAATATTGTGTTTAAAACAAGTCAGGTGAAGTTTTGAATATTTGACAAATGCCTTTTTGCTTCTCGAGTGAATCCTTTGTATCCTCCCAGTTCTTTAGCAGGCATGCCACCCAAGTGCCAGGTGTAAGCACCAACTCGCATTTCTCTAAGTGTGCTTTCACTAAGAGGATGCTATCAGCACTGGCAATGGCATAACTCTATACACTGTCATCAAGTACTGCACAGTACGCACATCACGTGCATATGTGTATATATGTTTTTTTTCAATGAACATTCAACCATTTAATAAACTTAGGATCAGCACACTAAACTTTATATGATTTATTTTAAATGATTGCTGGTTCCAGATAATTAAAAACCACAAACTATGGCAACAACTATAATACATACACAGTTTTAAAAGAGTTCTTTCTTTAGTTATCACATAACAGTGGAATATAATTTTTAAAAATACAAAGGACAGCTGTAGCATAAGGCTCTGTGGTAGAATCGGCAAATTAAAGACAAACATCAGAGACAGGTTCTGGAAAGTGAGGCGTGTCCTATTAGAATTGATTTCTTCTTTTCTAACAGTGACTGATTTACAGACACTAAAATGTCCAAACAAAACAAAATGTTTCTGGGACTCCTAGAAAAGAATTAAACTTCAATAGTAGTAACTAACAAGGCTGGACTACCATGGCAAGCTAACATTCAATCTGTTGGTACCAATGGCTCACTCATTTTTAGAGTTTATTACACTTGAAACAATATGGCAGAAATCTCAAGTTTACTCATTAAATATAGTTTAATTTTTTTTTTTTTTTTTTTTTTTTTTTACAAATCTCCTTTTGAAAATGTAATTCATTTATGCTGCAACTTCAGAAGTTTGAATTCAAACTCGCGTATGAAGGCAGTGGTCGAGAAAGCCGTATCCGGGTGCTTCGTCTGTTTGCTGTACAAGTCAGTACATGGCTCTCCTGTGATACAACAGGGAAAAGGTGATCCTAAATATATTCAAGTAAAGGCAGAAAATACATTGCTATTTGAGGCAGATCATGCTAAAATATAACTCACAATGATTAGTTTGCATTTAAGATGGTCAATAATGTTTTTAAATCAATAAAATTAATATAAGTTAAGATTTGCAGCATTTTTACTGTCTTTTGTACGAAGCGTAAGTTTCTTTGAAAAATAAGACTAGAAAAAGCAAACGACTCAATCCTCCTTCATGTTACCATCCACTGCTGTATAATTGCAAACCAATCAACCCAGCATCAAGATCCTTCACATTAAATGAAGACAAATGAATACAAAGGCAGTAGATAACAGGTGAGCTTCCAGTTACCATCAACTTAAGGTTTTTAATAACATGAAGATTTACAAGCCAAAATAAATATCTGATTTAAAAACTGCTATTCAAGATAACTCGGTTGTCCTTTTGTACTTTGAGACTAGTAAGGACTGGATCTTTAAAAACCTGAAGAGGCGTTTGTAAGAGAAAATCCTCAATGCTTTAAAAAATTCAACTGGCCAGGATCCACACAACTCCTGCACTGGCTGGCATGGAAGCAGGTGCTCTCTGTCTCTCCCAGAAGCAGTTTCTTCAAGCCAGCTGCACAGCGATGTAAACCTGCTTACCGAGGACTGAAAGTGCAGTGACCCTCCAAAGAGCAGCATGGGCACCTCACCCGAAAAGATCTTTCAAGTCATTGCTAGCTGAGCCGCTACTGGTCATAGTAGTGGGTGGCTGTGCAAAGTTCTGTGGGTTAAAGAAAGGATTACCCTGCATACCAAAGGCAGTCTGTCCTATTACATTCACCTGCGTGCCCATGGCTGCGTTGCCCAGGCCTGGGGACCCTGGAGGAGGTACAAATTGACTCAGCCACTGATTTGGTTTCTGTTGGGATAGCTGGTTCATGCTAACTTTGGGTTTCTGAGGGCCAAAGAGATTATTAAGGGCAGACATATCGGTTGGTCTCTGTTGAGCCTGCTTCACACCAGCAGAAGGAACACTCAAAGAACTGTAGTTTGACAGAGTGGGGGCTGCTCCCAGAGTCATCGTGGTCACTCCAGCTGTGCTTGTACCACTGAAGAAGTTCTGGTTTGGATTGACTGGCATGTTGAACCCGGAAGTCTGAAAGCCCATGTTGGCATTTAGACCATTTGTCAAATTTCTCTTTGTATTATCAATTGGTGTAGAGAACATCATGCTGAGGCCAGTGGAAGGAACAGACGTGAAGGTACTTGAAGCAGAAAGCTTGGGAGTGCTAACAGAAAGGCTGCTCAATGAGGTCATGTTGTCCATCAATGTGTCTGTCAAGTCCTTAGTCTGAAAAACAGGAGCAAGTACTTTACCTCCAAGAAATTCAAAGTACTTTACAATTAGTGAGCACTAGACAGACCACATGATAACCAGTGTGAGCACTGGGCAGACTACATGATAAAGGACAAATTATAGTTAAGCTGATGATCTACACTAAGTCAGTAAACTAGAGCCTATACATTAAATAATGACTACTACTTATTTTTGTAGTTTTTGTAGGCAAACACTGGCAATCAATTCGATGATAGTAATGGTAAATTTAAAGCACAATTAAGTGAAATGCTCCCAAGACAGAACTATCTTTTTATTATCATAAACAGGATATTTTATATTTTTTATTTTGAATTTCATCACAATTTTTAGGAATTTTTTCTATTCTACAAGTACCTAACAGTTACTCTCTATTTTGGCCCTTAGCCAGAAACATTATTGCCTCTGAGGAAGAACTGTGGTGACTAAAACTAGTGAGAACAGTATTAAGTTGGAACACTTCTGAGCTACACCAGTGAGTGTAAACTCTGCAAGCAGGACCCATTCCCCAGGGCAGTGCCAGCATCTGAAACGATGCCCAGAACATAGAGGGAATCCATGTGGTCAGGCAATATAGGTGCCTCTTCTTAACCTGAGCTACAAGCCAGTTAGATGGAAAAGCCAGGAACAGGCAGCTTCTTCTAGCGGAGAAACACAAGGATATGAACAAAATATTCCTGATAATGGCACTATTAATCTACATCTTTTCTTACAAACCTGCTCACCCCATTTCCTCTTTGGTGACAGCACTGAGACAAAGCAATGAATATGGAGCAGGTTACTCAGGAGTTGCTGTAATGCCTAAGTCACACAATTTATCATATTATCCTTTAAACACATCCCTACACACATTAGTTGTTTACCACTCTGTTCCTTACTCCTAAGCATGCTTGAAAGTACGCCAAAGAAACGCACCTGTTTGATGGGCACAATGGGAGTGTGGGGCTGGGGCTTGAGAGGCTGCTGGCTTTTCAGCTTCTGTGCCTGCTCCTGTTCTTTTGCTAATTTCTGTTTTTCTTCAAGTGTAAGTGATGCCTTCAAACAAAGCAAAACAAAATTCAACCACAACTTTATACTCCAGCTGTAGGTGTGTGCATCACAGCACATTGAGCAATGCTTACTACTTCAGTAGAAAGCAAGCAATCCAGTGTTGGTGACCTCAGGTGGAAACTCACAGATCTGCTACAATGCTTCTGGTGTAAAAGAAAGTTCTTTACAATTACCTGTTTCTTTATGAGTAACTGATTTCATTCTTGTTCAACTTGAAATCTTAGTGGAAAAAGCTCATGAGCCAGGTCTAGTGGCACAGACTGGTAACCCAGATTATATGAAAGACTGAAGCAAAAGGACCAGTCAGAACACCTTACAGAGAATGTCTCACAACACAACCAAAAAGGAAAAGCTAGAGCACTCAGTGTGGTAGCACACGCCTTTAATCCCAGCCCTTGGGAGGCAGGTGGATCTCTGTGAGTTCAAGGCCAGCCTGGTCTACAGGTGTTCCAGGACAGCCATCCCGTCTCAAGCAAACAAAAAAAGAGAAGAAAGAGGAGCCAGGGGGCTGGCTAATGGGTAAAGCAGTCGGAAGACTTCCAGCTGATAAACACCTTCAGCAAAGTGGCAGGATACAAGATTAACTCAAAAAAACTCAGTAGCCCTACTATATCTTGGGAGGCAGGTGGATCTCTGTGAGTTCAAGGCCAGCCTGGTCTACAGGTGTTCCAGGACAGCCATCCCGTCTCAAGCAAACAAAAAAAGAGAAGAAAGAGGAGCCAGGGGGCTGGCTAATGGGTAAAGCAGTCGGAAGACTTCCAGCTGATAAACACCTTCAGCAAAGTGGCAGGATACAAGATTAACTCAAAAAAACTCAGTAGCCCTACTATATATAAAGGGGCTGAGAAAGAAATCAGAGAAACATCACCTTTTACAATAGCCACAAACAAAATAAAATATCTTGAGGTAACTAACCAAATAGGTAAAAGACCAGTATAAAAAGAACTCTGAATCATGAAAGAAAGAAATTAAAGAAGATACCAGAAAATGGAAAGCTCTCCGATGCTCTTGGATAGGTAGGATCAACATAGTAAAAATGGCAATTTTACCAAAAGCCATCTACATATTCAATGCAATCCCTATCAAAATCCCAACACAATTCTTGACAGACTCTGAAAGAACAATACTCAATTTTATATGTGAAAACAAAAGACACAGGATAGCAAAAGCAATCCTGTACAATAAAGGAACTTCTGGAGGCATCACCATTCCTGACTTCAAGGTCTACTATATAGCCATACTCCTGAAAACAGCTTGGTATTGGCACAGAAACAGAATGGTAGACAAATGGAATTGAATTGAAGACCCTGATAGTAACCAACACACCTATGTACACCTGATCTTTGACAAAGAAGCTAAAACTAAACAATGGAAAATAAAAAGCATCTTCAATAAATGGTGCTGGCATAACTGGATCCTGACATGTAGAAGAAGACTGCAGATAGATCCATGTCTATCGCCATACACAGACTCAAGTCCAAATGGATCAAAGACTTCAACATAAATCCAGCCACACTGAACCTATTAGAAAAGAAAATGGGAGCTACCCTTGAACAAATTGACACAGGAGACCACTTCCTGAACATAACGCCAGTAGCACAAACACTGAGATCAACAATTAATAAATGGGACCGCCTAAAGCTGAGAAGCTTCTGTAAGGTAAAGAACACAGTCAACAAGACAAAATGGCAGCACACAGACTGGGAAAAGATATTCACCAACCCAACATCTAACAGGGGGATGATTTCCAAAACATACAAAGAACTCAAGGAGCTAGACTCCAAAACACCAAATAATCCAATTAAAAAGTGGGGTACAGAACTAAATAGACAATTCTCAACAGAGGAATCTAAAATGGCTGCAAGACACATAAGAAAGTACTCAACATCCTTAGCTAGCCATCAGGGAAATACAAATCAAAACACTCTTAGGTGCCATCTTGCTCCTGTCAGAATGGCTAAAATCAAAAACACCAATGACAGTTTATGCTGGAGAGGATGTGGAGAAAGAGAAACGCTTCTCCATTGCTGGTGGGAGTGCCAGCTCCTATAGCCACTTTGGAAATCAATATGGTGGTTTCTCTGGAAAATGGGAGCCAGCTACCTCAAAATCCAGCAATTCCAGTCTTAGGCAAATACCCAAAGGATGCACATTCATACATTAAGGACATCTGTTCAACTATGTTCATAGCAGCATTATTTGTAATAGTCAGAACCTGGAAGCAACCTAGATGCCATTCAACTGAAGAATGAACACAAAAAATGTGGTACATTTAAACAATGGAGTACTGCTCAGCAGAAAAAATAAAAATGGAATCTTGAAATTCAGAGGCAAATGGATGGAACTAGCAGAAACCATCCAGAGTGAGGTAACCCAGTCACAAAAAGACAAACATGGTATTTAATCACTCATATATGGCTATTAGACAGAGACAAAAGGATTACCAGCTACAATCCACACCTCCAGAGAAGCTAGGAAACAAGGAAGACCCTAAGACAGACATACATGGTCCTCCAGTGAAGCAGAAAGGGACAAGAGCCCCTGAACAAATGGGGAGCATGGGGGAAGGGAGAAGGGAGGTAGGAGAAAGGGGGGGGAGAACATGAGGGATCAAGAAGATTGAGTGGGGAAAGGAACAGAAGAGAGCAAGAAGAGACACATCAATAGAGCGAGCCACTGTAGGTTTAAAGAGAAATCTGGCACTAGGGAATTGTACAGAGACCCACAAAGATGACCCCAGCTAGGAATCTAAGCAATAGTTTAGAGGTTACCTTAAATGCCCTTCTCCTATAATAAGAATGATGACTACCTTAAATCCCATCCTAGAGCCTTCATCCAATAGCTGATGGAAGCAGAAGCAGACACCCACAGCTAAACACTGAGCTGAACTCTGGAATCCAGTTGCAGAGAGGGAGAAGTGATGAGCAAAGGGGTCAAGACCAGACTGGAGAAACCCTCAGAAACAGCTGAACTGAGTAAGTGGGAACTCATGGACCCTAGTCTGACTGCTGGGGAACCAACATAAAACCAAACCAGGCCACCTGAACATGGGTGTCAGCTAGGAGCACTGGACAGTCTATGGAGCCTCTGGCAGTGGAACCAAGATGTATCCCTAGTGCACAAATGGACTTCAGGAGCCCATTTCCCATGGCGGATACTCTTAGCCTAGATACACAGGGGATGGCCTAAACCCTACCTCAAGTGACATGGACAGATTTTGATGATCCCTCATGGACCGTATCATCCTCTCTGGGGAGTAGATGGAGGATGGAATGGGGGTGGTCTGTGGGGAGCATGGGAGGATGGGAGGAAGAGGGAACTGGGATTGATATGTAAAATAAGACTGTTTCTAATTAAAATAAAATTTATTTAAAAAAAACTTGAATGAATATCTGAAGGTCATAAAATTAAGGTATATCACGTAAAAAAAACAAAGAAAGGCACGGCTGCTGGGCTAACAAAGAATGGGCTTGCATTCACTCTGACAGGAATGTAGTCAGAGATGATTTCATACTGAAAAGCTGCGGCTGGAAAGATGGCTTGGTGGCTAGAAGGGGACACCTGCTCTTCAGGGGACCTGAGTGCAGCTCCCCACATCTCTATCAGGCAGCTCCCAGCTCCCTGTAACTCCAACACTGGAGGATCCAATAGCCTCTCCTGGCCTCAGTGAACACCTGCATTCATTTGTACAACCCCCCCCAGACACCACGAATACATTTTTAAAAAGTAGAAAAACTTTAATTATTGATAAGCAGTAATTGAGGAGAAGCAGACAGGCAGCATAACTATAAGTGATGGCACCACCCAAGCAGAGACAAGCGATCAAGGCAAGACACCGTGCGTGCGTGCGTGCGTGCGTGCGTGGTAACAAAGGAACCCAAAATAGCATATACACACTCCTTCCCAACACACTTCACAAAGAGTTAGACTATTCCTTGTTAAGAGGTCACACAGTATTTCCCAGGAAATACATGTGGTTTATAGGAAATCTCACAATAGAAACGCTTTGTTTAAAGTAGAGAAACTTACTCTTTTCTGTTTATTCTGCAGCCCATCTTCTTTATTTTCTGATTCACCACCAGTTAGAAGGTCTGCTCCAATGTTGTTAAAGACCTTGTCAATCTGCTGAAATACAAGTCCGACAAAGATACCCCAATATAATTGTCATTTTGTTCCTAAAAGACTAAGGACTCTTAAGTGAGGCACACTCTCAAACATTTTCTGTAAAAATGAATGTCATCTTACCTGACTTCCAGCATGTGCAACGTTTGTCTCCTCGGGAGCACTCATTTGATTTCCTATGTCCAAAGACCTACAAGATGGACAGAATTATGGAAAGGTAGTTAAAACAAACAAACATCAACTTCATTCCTTAGCTCAGATTTCCCTACTATTTCCCCACATTATTTTACCCAAATAATAATAAAAATGATGATAACATCTGGGGCCATGAAAGTCTGGTGACAACTCCAGAACCCATGTAAAACAGTCAGCTGTGGTGGCATGCGTCCGTAAATCTAGCAATTCTGCTAGGCATTGGGCAAAGATTACAGAATTGACTGGAAGGTCAGGGCCAGCTAGTCTGTAGTACACACAGCAGAAACAGATCTGACTCAACACTGTGGAAGGAGAGAGCTACCTCCTAAAAGCTGTCTGATGGGGGAAAGTCATTCTGTATGCTATGAATATATATTTCTCTTATTGGTTTAATAAAATACTGATTGGCCAGTAGCCAAGCAGAAAGTATAGGCAGGGCTACCAGATGAGGAGAATTCTGGTAGGAGGAGGGGAACGAGAGTCAGAAACAGACAGACAGACAGACAGACAGACAGACAGACAGACAGACAGACAGACAGACAGAGAAGCACTCTTGAAGAAGACACCATATAGCAGCAGAAGGAGTAACATGCCGGCGAAGCATTACGAGTAAGCCACAACATCGTGGCAATACATAGTTTAATACAAATGGGTTAATAATTAAGAGAGAGCTAGCCAGTTTATAAGTAATATAAGCCTCAGTGTGTTTATTTGGGACTGAAGGGCAGCAGGACCAGGCTGAACTCCATCTACAAATGGTGCCCCAAGGTGGGGCAAGAAGTTCCACATGAAACCTGACAAAAGCTTAAAAAGGGATTCTGAGAACAAAAGCATGGCTTCTTGGTAGCAGCATTTTCTTGAGTGGCCTCTGTTTGCTAGAGGCAAACTTTAAGAATAGCTTCCTGACTCAGTTTTAGTGGCAAAAACCATAAGGCATTTTTTAGGTTTTTGTTTGTTTTCTAGGATTTATTATGTATATGGTGCTCTATCTGCATGTATACCTGCACACCAGAAGAGGGCATCAGATTCCATTATAGATGGTTGTGAGCCAAGATGTGGTTGCTGGGAATTAACTCAGGTTCTCAGGAAGAACAGTTAATGTTCTTAACCACTGAGTCATCTCTCCAGGCCCCACAAGGCTCTTTTAAGAGGCCCTAGAGCTACCAAATAATTAAAGGGTGTTTGTGAGCAGCAGGCAGCATGCTTCTTGGTGGTGACATGGACCTAGAAACTCCACAGTGCTGTGATAATAAGCATGGCTCCCACAGCCATGATGCTAGTCTCTCAGAAAGCCAAGGAATAGGCCAGGCCAGCCGCTGCTTTAATTTTAGTCATGCTGTTTAGTCATGTGGTCAGAAAAAGAGAGATATACAGTAAAGAAAAATTCAGAGGAACAAATCCTCTAAATTATTTACAGTGTGTTTTAAAATATATGTAGGCTTGGGAGAGAAAAAAAAAAAAAAACTAGCTGGGTGTGGTGGTACTCGCCTTTAATCCCATCGCTTTAGAGGCAGAGGCCAGCAGATCTCTATAATTTCAAGGCCAGCCTCGTTTACAGAGCAAGTTCCAAGACAACCAAAGATACACAGAGAAACGCTGTCACAAAAACGCCAAAAAGTAAAAGAAACAGAGTAGTTTAAAAGAAAGAAACAAAAAAGTCATGTAAAGATGGAAAATCACAGAGTCTAAATACTGATGCTATTGTGTTGTCTTTGAATTGTTGCTGAGGAAGGAGCAACAGCTGCTAAAAGACATTTGATTATAAATGCTGCCGATTAATCCAACCTATATATTTTGAAAATGCCTTGACTTCAAAATTTAAGTCTAAAAACATGTTACTTTGGAGAAGAAGTTCTGCTTTTGTTTCCACAGAAGATAAAAAGCTGTGGATTCCTTCCAAATTAATATGGTTTGATCAAGCAAGACCTCTTGAAGCAGTAGCCCAGGTGATCCAACAACCAAAGCAACTGAGATGATGCAGCCCCACAGACTACTTAACTACAGCCAGGATTTGTTCATGATTCTAGTTTTCCCAGATCTCCTTGGGATTGATAGAGCCCACAAACAGCAGGAAGCAGTTTGGAGAGAACTACGCCCAAATTCCCAAATATTGTTTATAAATGCTTGTTTTCATTTAAACAGGGTTAGTTATAAATGGCTAATGATCACAGCCAATCACTTACTAAAGAAAAAAGGGATTATGATATAGAAATGAATACTTTGCATTGGTATGGATTTTGGTTTATTGTTATTTAAGGTCAATTTTGTTATATGTATATTTCTACTCTTGTTTAGGTATTGTGTTTACACAGCTCTTTTAAAATTTGTAATGTACTCTGCCCCACCTTCCTCTGCCCTGCTTAGAGACACCTGAGGCCTGGGACTGGGGGCTGCTGCGGGTCCCATCTCTTTGGGATTCAGCCCACACAGAGTCTGCTGGGTCCTGATACGTTCCACGGGAATAGGTGAGCTTGGGCCTATTTCTGGTCCACCTTCCTCTGCCCTGCTCTGAGACACCTGAGGCCTGGGGACTATTCACAGAGGATCCCATCCCAGCGGGATCCAGTCTACCCAGACACTGCTAAGGCCCTGGTACCAGTCCTGCCTCCATCCACAAGTAGATGAGACACAGAGTATTGGACCTATTTGTATCCACTGGAAGGGAACCTTGGTCCAGGACCCACCAGGAGAAGAGACTCCTATACCTACCGGAAGAAGGGATGTTAAGAAGGCAATATAAAAAGAACACATTCAAAAACAGAAAAAACAATATGACATCACCAGAGTCTAGGGACTCTACACCAGCATGAATATCACAAAGCAGATGAAGCAGAAGAGAATGACACTAAAAACAACTTTATGAAGATGAGAGAGATCCTCAAAGAGGAAATGAGAAAATCCCTGAAAAAAATGGAAGAAAAAATGAACCAAAAACTACAAGAAATCAACACATCTCTTAAGGAAACAGTTCAAGACCTAAAAACTGATATAGAGACAATAAAGAAAGCAACAATCTGAGGGAATCCTGGAAATACAAAACCTGGGTAAATGATTAGGAACTACAGATGCAAGCATAAACAACACAATACAAGAGATGGAAGAGAGAATCTCAGATGCTGAAGATACTCTAGGAGAAATAGACTCATCGAAAAAAGAAAATCTTAAGTCCAACAAATCCCTAACATATAATATCCAGGAAATGTGGGACCACCATGAAAACACCTAACCTAAGAATAACAGAAAAAGAAAAAGGTTATGAAAAACCAAACTCAAAATTGCAGAAAACACATTCAACAAAAATCATAGAAGAAAACTTCCACAACCTACAGAAGGACATGCCTATGAAAGTACAAGAAGGCAACAGAACACCAAATAGAGTGGACCAAAAAAAAAAGGTCTCGTCGCCACCAAACATACAGAATAAACAGAAAATATTAAGAGCAGCAAAGGAAAAAGACGGAGTAATATATAAAGACAAACCTATCAGAATTATACCTGACTCCTCCATGGAAACTCTGAAAGCCAGAAGGTCCTGAAAAGAAGTCCTACAAACACTAAGAGACCATGGACGACAGCCCAGCAAAGCTTTAAATCACTATAGATGAAGAAAACAAGATATTACATGACAAAACCAGATTTAAACAATACATATCCACCAATCCAGCCCTACAGAAAGTTCTGGGAAAAAAAAAAAACTCCAACCAAAGGAAGGTAACTACAAAACAAAAAAAAAAAAAAAAAAAAAAAAAACCATAGGCAATAGATAATCCCACTTTACCAACAGCCAATAGAAAAATAGGGTGGAAATCCACACACATTTCCACCACCACCACCACCACCACCAAATCCAAAACAAACAAGAATGAACAATCAATGGTTATTAATATCCCTCAACATTAATGGTCTTAACTTGCCTATAAAAAGACAAAGGCAAGCAGAATGAATATGAAGACAGAATCCATCCTCCTGCTGCATACAAGAACTCACCTCAACCTCAAAGACAGACAGTACCTCAGAGTAAAGGGTTCGAAAAAGATTTTACAAACAAATGGACCCAAGAAACAAACGGGAATAGCAATCCTAATATCTAATAAATTAGACTTAAAACTAAAATCAAGAGATGAAGGGGGTCACTTCCTACTCATCACAGGAGAAATCCATCAAGATAAAGTCTCAATTCTGAACATCTATGCCCCAAATACAAAGGCATCCATGTTCTTAAAAGAAACATCACTAAAACTCAAATCACACATAAAACCTCACACACTTACAGTGGGAAACTTCAACACCTCCCTCTCACCACTACACAGGAACACCAGACAGAAACTTAACACAGAAACAAAGAAACTGATAGAAGTTATGGCCCTTTTGGGTTTAACAAACATTTATAGAACATTCCATCCAAATACAAGAGAATATACCTTCTTCTCAGTGCCATATGGAACCCTCTAAAATCGACCACATACTTGGCAACATAGCAAACCTCAACAGGCACAAAAAATTAAAATAACCCCCTGTATCTTATCAGACCACCATGCTTTAAAGTTAGAATTAAACAACAAAACAAATTGCAGAAAACCTACAAACTCATGGAAATTGCATTATTTCTGAGTCAAGGAAGAAATAAAGAAATTAATGATTTTCTAGAATTCAATGAGAATGAGGACACAACATACCCAACCTCTTAGGACATTTTGAAAGCAGTGATAAGAGGAAACTTCATAGCACTAAGTGCCCACATGAAGAAACTGGAGAATACTCACACTAGAGAATTAACAGCACAACTTAATGATCTAGAACACAAAGAAGCCAATGAACCCCATAGGCGTTGACACACCAGGAAATAATGAAATTGAGGGTTGAAATCAACAAAGTAGAAACTAGGAAAACAATACAATGAATCAATGTAATGAACAGTTGGCTCTTCAAGAAAAATCAACAAGATAGACAAACCATTATCCAAATTTAACAAATGGCAGAGAGTAAACATGCAAA